ATCTAGTAATGCTTTCTTATTTAACTTATACAAATTATGTCATTTATATTATGTTACAAAAGTGGATTAATATGTAGTATTATTTTATTTTTTGTAATACATATCTATGTATAGGAAAAATCTGACAGGATAGTTATCTCTGCATTGTGATTTCATGAATAATTGGCAATACTTTCTTTTGCTTGTATATATTTCCCACGGTGACCATGTATTACATGAGGATTGAAGGAAGATGTTGGTGCTAGATAATTCTTTTCCTTCCTAAGTTTGGTTACTGTAATTCAGAGTGGGTATTTCACTCTGCAGAAATAACTACTTTGTGAAGGTGAATATCCTGTCAGCCTCTGGTTTCTCTGTGGACAGTCTACAAAAAATTGCCATGTAGGCCCTCCCTGGTGGTGCAGTGGGTGAAAGCACAGCACTATATAGCTATCCTCAGCCACTGCAGCATGAGTTCAATCCCTGGCCAGGGAGGTGACCCACAGGGTGCAGCAGACCTCTCCTGTCCCACCTGCTGCTCCCCTCAGCCGTATATTTTGGTCAGTCTGCCTATTCTGTCCCATACTCTGTCTCTAATAAATCCTCTCACTAACACCTCCCCCCCCCCCCCTGCACTTCTGGCCTGTACCTCAGTTCTTATATGCATAAATAAATAAAATATTTTAAAAATACCATCTTAGCACAGATGATTATACAGGAAGCTGTTCTTTGCATTGGGGGATATTTTACAGCATTCACCCTCACCCTCACCTGTTGTAACCACCAAAAATGTCTTCATAAAATGCCACTGTTCCCTGAGAGGCAAAATTAGCCCTGGTTGAGAGCTGCTGTACTATCGATGTGTACAAATTGAAATGTATGGTCTCTAGGAGATTTGTAGCAAAAAATGTTCCATTCTGCTCATTTTCCTGGCTGAATCTTCAAGGAGGATCTAATTTGTGATTTGATGAAAGCTGCTTTTGTAGTTTACTGACCTGCACATTTAATTTACCAACCTATGACTCAGTGGTTAATGATTATCTGCATTTTTGAAATACATCCAGAAACTACCAAGACAAGCTCAATTCTGTGAGAAAACCAAAGGTCATGAATGAAAGATTGCTTGTCAACTATGACAGTGATGAGTTAGATTTGTCTCGCCAGCCTGCTAGCTGACCCATTTCACTATTCATGATCATCTGTGAAACAGGAGAACATTGTGAGGGAGTTAAAAATGGGAAATTTCGTCTTAGAAAGTGAGTGATGTTCCACACATATAATTTCTTTTTATTAATAATAAATATATAGAGACAGTTGCAAAAGATAAAGGGAATTAGATATATTGCATTTTATTTAGATTATTTTTCCATAGGGAAACATTCCTAGAGAACCACAGAAATGAGACAAGGGAAAACATGAGGTCATCTTGCCCATTCTCTTCAAGAGCTACACTGTTCTGTGTGCCCTCTCTCCACACCCAATCTGGAGTTTTATTAAGAATACCCTCTGATTTAATCTTCATGGAAAGTAACACAACAGATGAGCAGAGGTTCTAAGTAAGTGGTATCACTATGTCCAGAACATATTTACTTAATGAAACTGTGCTGACTTTGTAGAAAAGAAACTTCTAGCAAAGTCTGTATCAGAAATCAGCGATACAGGATTACTAAGTATGATACAAATTGTGTATTAAATAGTTTTACAAAATTATAAACAATAGAATGCATTTGTGGGATCTTGACTTTTAATATTGCTCTTGCAATTGTTGAGTATTCTTAACCCTTGAGAATGCTTTATAAAATATTTATAAATCTCCGTATACTTTCTTAGGTGTTCCTTCACTGAAATCAGTGGTTACATTTTTTAAAAAAAGATTTATTTATTTGTGCATACGGAACTGGGGTACAGGCCAGAGGCTCAGGGGCAGCGAGAGGCTTCACCAGAGACAGAGTGGGGAGCAGAACAGGCAGATTGACGAAGTACACTGCTGAGGGGAGCAGCGGGCAGGTCAGGAAAGGTCTGCCACGCCAAGTGGTCACCTCTGGGGCAGGGGGGAATCGAACTCATGTGGAAGTGGCTTTAGCTTCTTAGAGTGGTGCTTTAACCCACTGCGCCACCAGGGAGGGCCACATTTTGTTTTTTATGATAACTTCTGGGATTTCTTTAATGGTAAATGATAAAAATATTTATTCTTAACTGAGTTCTATGTGTGGGTCAAGGTGTGGGTAAGTGCTTAACATAAAGTATTTTACATAGTCTTTGTAATTCTACCAGATACATAGCATTATTATGTGTGAGAAAACTAAGACTCAAAGAGGTTAAGTACTTTGTCCAAAAGTTGTAAAAGTCAGGGTCTTGTTCATACAATTTAAGTCAGACTCTATACCTTAGGTTGTTAAATAGTCAGAGATGTGGGGTTTTCTCTGTGCCAGGAAGAAATGTACTTGAATTCTTTAATACAGCACTGATCTGCAAGGGCTGGAGAACTGCTCCTTAAGGGAAGAAAAAAATCTTAAGGAAAGACTTAGGAATCTGAGGACCCCATGTGGCAAGGAATGAATTTAATTGGGTTGAGAAGTTTTGTTAAACATAGAGAAACTGGGCCCTCCCTGGTGGCGCAGCTGGTTAAAGCACAGCACTGGAAAGCTTAAGCCACTTCTGCATGAGTTCGATTCCCGCCTGCCCCGAGGAGATCCACATGGCGTGGCAGACCTCTCCTGACCCGCCCGCTGCTCCCCTCAGCAGTGTACTTCGTCAATCTGCCTGTTCTGCTCCCTGCTATGTCTCTGATGAATCTTCTCACCCTCGGCATCTCTGGTCTGTACCCCAGTTCTATACGAATAAATAAACCTTAAAAAAAAAAACATAGAGAAACTGTGCCATTACTTTGTACAATGATAAAGAATAAATTGGGTCTTTTTTTTTAACCAGGGGGATTTTAGAGATGGAGGCTTCCAGAGGACATTGCCCAAAATTCAAATTGGGAGTGTGGGAGGGGGTTCCGGTAGGGGCCTACTTTCCTATGTAGATTGTTCCAGGGTAGTGAGTGGTGGGGTCGGTGGGGTGTATGGGTGGGAGAAATCCCTCCTTGTCTCACACAGAAACATGGAAAATGCAAGCATAAAGCATGGAAAAAAAAGAAAGCATGAAAAAAAGTGACCGCGAACCCAAATCTAAAACCCAAACCCAAACCTCGAAGGGGTTGTGGGAAAGTATTCTGCTAACAATTGAAAATGGAACGCCAACACTGGACTTCAGGCTGAGAACTTTCAGTCTGAATAATTAAGGTCAAGGTGGTGATGGAAATACCAGCTGCGGAGCATTTTGTGGAAAGATAAATTTGTCACTCTGTATCTCTGCAAGACAGCAGGGAGGTGTGTGTTTGGGGCTAAATTAATTTGATTTACATCATGCCATGGCAACTTCTGTTCTCCCTCTCTCGCTGCGTCAGATGTCTTTAGCGGGCTCTTTCCCTCTCTTCCTTCGCCCCCACACATTTCATAACGTGGAGAGAAAGCATGGCTTAGCTCCAGGCAGAATTTAGAAATGGAATAACTCTAATTTGATTATTCTGCATCGAGGGCTAATCTCTTCTCCCCCTCTCCCTTTCTTCTTGAGGGGAGAAGTTGTAAACCTGAGCATGAGTGTGATGTATGTTTATATCGTGCTTACTGGCACAAACTGCTTGACAATCAGAACTTGCTCCTTGTAGCCAGGGGGACCTGGCAGAGCACCTACCCTCCTGTGTTTCTTCAACAATACTAGTCCTAGAAAATGAAGTTACGGCCCAGATTCCAGTGGGAATGTTCCTTTTCTGCTCATGTAGCTTCAACCCCGCCAGGCTCCGGAAGCCTGGAGCTTCTCGAGGCGGGGTGCGGGTGCTTGCTCAGCCGAGTTACGAACACCGCGAGGACCCCTCCTGGGCCGGTCGCCGCTCAGCGCTCGTTACTTCCAGCGGCCTGGAGCGCTTGACTGGGCAGGATAAGGTTACACCGAGGCTTCTTTGGAGGGGAGGAAGGAAGGCGGGTCTGAGCCCCCGCCCCGGCCCGCGAGGGAGTTCCCACAGCTGGCAGTGCAGGCCCACGGGGCCGCATCCTCGCTGCGGCTGGGCGCCGCGCGGGTGGCTGAGCGCATCCCCGGTGGGGGGCTGCCCGCATCCCCGGTGGGGGGCTGCCCGCCATGGCACGCGAGAGGCCGCCCGGGAGAGGCTGCGGAGCCTGGCGCCGGTGTCTGCTCGGGGCCGCGCTGCTGCTCGGCCTGCGGCTCTGCGCGG